CTAGTTTTTACAACGCATTATTTGGGTGGATTTGTTTATTCCTCCCAAACAGACAATGTACCACTGTACAGATGTTACTGGTTCTACTGGACAGAAGCTCAGATGACTGGTTACAGTGGGACAGAGGGGCGGAGTGGACTGGTTACAGTGGGACAGAGGGGCGGAGTGGACTGGTTACAGTGGGACAGAGTGGACTGGTTACAGTGGGACAGAGTGGACTGGTTACAGTGGGACAGAGTGGCCGAGGGGACTGGTTACAGTGGGACAGAGGGGCCGAGGGGACTGGTTACAGTGGGACAGAGGGGCCGAGGGGACTGGTTACAGTGGGACACAGAGGCCGAGGGGACTGGTTACAGTGGGACACAGAGGCCGAGGGGAATGGTTACAGTGGGACACAGAGGTCGAGGGGAATGGTTGTAGCGGGACACAGAGGCTGAGGGGACACCACACTCTCCTTCCTGTCAATCAGCTGGCACCAGAAGAAGAGAAAGTTTGCTCCAGGAAATAAACAAGTCACCTTACAAACTTTAGTAAGGTAATCCATGTCCTCTTCTTGTGTCTTTTTCTTTCTCAGTTGTCTGTCAGTCATTCTAATGCTTGTTTAAGACATCCACAAAACAATTACATGAGCATGGATTACAGAATCATCAGTGTATTCACCCAGATGTGAATGGCCTATAACTCCGACTGACAGAGCCAGTCCTGTAATGGAGTTCACAGCCTGTTTTATTGTTGAGTCCTCATCTACTTTGCTGTTGGCCATTAATCATATTCGACAGGCAGATCCGATATTTCCTACGTGTTCTTTCCAGCACGTCCAATCAGCAGCCGGCATCTGCAGGCAAATGCAACTGTGCCAAATGCTGAGATTACTCTCCCATCGCTATCTTGTTGACTTTCTACCATCAGTCGCTTTGTCAAAGTTCACTGGATATGAAGCAATAAAGGCGACAAGTGACAAGAATGTGGCAGAACCGCTATTTCGTCTAATTACCAGATGAATCTGGTGCATTTAGGGCAGCGATTTATGATGCATGTTAGAAACCTGCAAAATGCAATGTGTTTTGTTAACAAAATACTGTATATTTGCATCAGAAAGAACGGACGGGAACACTGATAGATCTGCAGCCTTGTTGCCAGAGCTAATAGCACATTACCACACTTTTATTAACACCATTATAAGGCCACAGATATATCTTAACATAAAGTACAAAATGTGCAAATATCACGGCCAACTAGTATGATGAATCAGAGAAAGCATGACAAATAAATTAACGGACAGGGTTTACAAAAAAAAAAAAAAAAAAAAAAAAAAAAGTCAAGCCTTACTTAAAACAATGCCCATGTGAACATGTGTTCATATCGCTGAGAGAGATCCATTTCCAAAGTATTTCTAATAGCCAAAGTAACTATCAAACATTTTTGATAAATAGTAAATACCGTGCACTAGGCCCCAACATAACTACAGCAGTATTGAGTTTTGCTTAAACACAGCCTTGAAAAATGTTTATGCATCGTATGTTATGTGGTAGTGTAGTTAGTGGACCCAAACGCACGCACACAACAGGTTTACTCCAGCCAAGACTTTATTTAACTGTGCAGGAGGAGTCACAGAATGAACAAACAAAAAACAAAGACTAACCGTCCAGCAAATTAAAGTCACTCCTATAATCTCCACTGGAGTCGGGAGGGAAGCTCAACCGAGGACGGGACAGGTTGCCTCCGGAGTCCGGAGGGAAACTCGACCGCACTCAAAACTGAAGGAACAGAAAACAAACGGGTAACGATCTTCACTGAATCAGTGTTCAGACTTACGTGACCAGACTGGTAACCGGACGGACTGATGCCGCGCCGGGGAAACGCCGAGGTATTTAAGCCAGCTGGGGATGATCAGCTGGAATTCCCCACAGCTGAGCCTGAGGATAGGGGTGTGGTAGAGGGCGGAACACGGGGGTAGAAACTGTAGGCTGACACAAAAACAAAGCATAAGCACATGGCCCACAATAACAAAACAGACAGGGGAAAAACAGAGGAGCAGACAGGGATCCTAACAGTACCCCCCCTCAACGGGAGCCTCTCGGCGAACTGCCTGGTTTACCGGGGTTCTGTCGGTGGTAGTCTCGTATGAGCCCCGGGTCAAAGATCCGGGATCGCGGCACCCAGCACCGCTCCTCTGGTCCATAACCCTCCCAGTCCACCAGGTACTGAAACCCCCTACCTCGACAGCGGACATCCAGGAGGCGATTGACTGTGTAGACGGGGGATAATTCGGAATTATACATATTGGGCACCGAGTTTAAATTTTAACCGGCGCCTCTTATTCAGCCGTTACGGCACTTGTTCGGCGATGCAGGAAACACACCGACCAATGCGTTGTAAATCACATCACGTGATGCAGCTCAGCCAATCAAATGTGGGTATTCTGACAAGTTTCCAGGTTTACACACACCGTGACACACGGGGCTGAGATGAGGAAATAGAAACAAGAGCAGGAAAATTGCGCCGATCTCGTGAAGTTATCTCACATGACTCGCTCCAAAAAGAGAAACATGTTCAGAGAGAATATAATTTATAAACAAGAATGAACAGAATCGTATATGTTAATTATTCCCACAGGCAGTTAAATCCTCTACCCCTGTCAAGCGATTTACCCTGCACGTGGCTAATCATGATTTTCAGACCCCCGCCCTCTGTAAACTATCAATGCATTAATCCAAAAAAAGAAAAGTCACGGAGGAGAATAGAGAGTTTAACTCAATGTGGGCGTCTTCATTTGCTTTCACTGCCAACGATGCTGGCTTACCTCTATGCTTCCAGAACAAGCACACAGCATTTGCTAGTGTCACGCTGGAGATGAGCAAAAAAGAGCAATTTCTCAGCTGCTACAGCAAACTGAGCTCTTCATAAGAGTTTGATATTGTTATATCAGGTAAAATTGCAAAAAACATGTCAAGAATTGTCTTTATTCTTGTTCTATATTTTCATAAATACAACAAACTATAGTTTTTGTATATATACAACTTTATAAGCTGTGATATCAAATAGCTTTTGCGGCTCCAGACGAATTTTATTTGGTGGAAAATAGGGCAAAATGGCTCTTTGGACAGAAAAGGTTGCCAACCCCTGGGCTAATTGCTCAGTGGATCCCAATTCATTGACAAATCGACCACATATGGCCAGCAGATGGCGGACTCACTCCAACCTGAGACTGGAGGCTTCCACCTAAACCGGGGTGGTTATGGATGCACGTGTTTGAGCTCTAGATTGTGGTCTATTTGTTTAGCTCATTACCAGCCTAAATCTCAGTCCAATTACCTGCGGATAAACAGGAGCAGAGGTGGTGAGAAGGTGTAATGCTGTCATTTGACTGATTAACCCTTAGACAACCAATCGTGTGGGGAGTGAATGGCTTTTTTCTCATTTCAGCAAAGCACAATAGAATATATCAGTCACAGCAATTGTCTACATTTTGCTAATAATACTTCTTTACTTTTGCTTACATCGGATTAATGTTAGAAGGAGTTGTGAGTTATTGTTTTTTCTTATGGTTCTTTTACTCAACTATAAAGGATTTGAATACTTCTTCCACCACTAGAGAGGTGTGTCAGCGTGGAAATGTTGTAACATTTAGTTTTTCTTCATGAATATACAATAGGTCATAATAATCATACATGCAGATGAGACATCAGGGTTCTTTGGTACTGTACAGGTATCAGATGGGGCACTTTATGTGTCTTTCTCCTGCATCGGTCCATGGTGGTTCTAACTTGCTTTCTTCCTTATGGGGTATTTTGAGAAATGAGAGAGACACATTAGAGCAGGAATATATCATATAGATATATTCCTGCTCTAATATCTATATGACGCATGAGTCTCAAAAATAAACGAAAAAAACTGACTTGTGTTTGTAATGAGTGATGCATAGGTCCCTGCACTGATATCATCGGGGCAACATCAAAATTATCTGAGCAAATTTGACAATTTAGAATTAATTCAAAGCAATAATGTCTACATTTCCCTTGTTCCTGCTTCTCAGATATGAATATGTGTTGGTATTCTTTGTTCTCTAATTAAACAGAACACTTTGGAACGTTTGTCAGCTGTTTGAATGTGTCAACTTGAGCTTGTGATAATAGTTTTCCGTGTTTTTCTGACATTTAATCAAACAAACGAGTGCTGTACTTAAGTATAATTTTGAGATGCATGTACTTTACTTGAGTATGCACAATTTCTGACACTTGATGATGTTTTCGAACCACTATACATTCATTCCAAAGTAATTACTTTGAAGATCAAGGAACGTTTATCAAATATGATGCAATGTCATAGATTAAACAATACAACCATATATAAAGTATGAAAGTATATGTATGAAGTAGCTACAAGACTGCTGCATACACAGTAATGTATCAATAATTCCAATATGCAATAATACAGCGTTTTGATACTTGAAGGCTTTTTTTACCTCCTACTGTACATTGGTATCTGCACAAAGGACCTTTACTTGTACCTGAGTATTTTTTTAGATCTGAATACTTATTCCACAACTAAATAAATACATAAAATAAAATACATATAATTTACTAAAGATGTTTTTTGATTCAATTATATTGTTGTCAGTGAAGGCGAAGGCTTTGTAACAGCCTTTAAATCATCATGTTGGATGATGAAATGAACAGAAAACATATTTGGTCAGTATAATTATAAACATGACAGAATCAACTTTTACATTGAAATATTTGTTGGGGGAATAAGGGACTCATGACCTCAGTATTCATTAAATCCTGGACACTGGTGGCCCGGCGTGGCCCCATCAGCGGGAGCCTCAGAGTAAATGTGACCGGGGATAAGCTCTGTGGAGCCGCGCAGCAGCTCTCCGTCCTCCCTCCCTCCCTCCTCTGCTCCTCCTCAATGTACCGCTCACCGGGAAATACGGTGGGAGGGACTGATCCGGGAGAGAGAGAGAGAGAGAGAGAGAGAGAGAGAGAGAGAGAGACGCTCCATCGGTGCACCACGGGGTCCGCATTCAAACTGACCAGCGCGTCTCCTCTCAGTGAGCGCACGCACCGTCCTCTCTCCACACCCGTCCTCCAGCAGCCTCACTGCAGCCCACCACCGGAGCCGGTAGGTTGATTCCTCTTCATAATCTTTAGGTGCATTTACGCAGAGTTGTCCTTTTTTTCATGCGAGACCGGAGCAGAGACTTGCACTGCGCCCACAGAGCGATACGCATTTCCCCGGTTCATCTCTGCTCGGGACCCGCATGTCTTATTTCCCCTCTCACATGTGAGCGGGATTCTGCGGACGTCTGAGAAGCCTGGCTTTTATTAAACGGCACGCATTCACGTTACCAGATATAACGCATTCTAGCACCGGAACGCTCTTATGTTGGATCAGGTTTCAGTAGCATTGCATCGAAAGTGTCCGCGGACAGTACAGGCTGGAAAGGCTTATGGAGCCTCCATGTCTCAGAGAGAGACCAAAGTTGTATTATAGTTCAGTTAACCAGGCTGCATATTCTGAAGAGTGGAGGGAAACTTCTTCACAATCACCCACACAACACTGAAAAGGGATTCAATATCTGATTTTAATTTAGGCTTACAAAATTCTGCCTTCAAAGTAATCCATTGAAACAAATAGTGTGTGATTGAATTAAATGTGAATTTGGCCATAATAATTAATAGTTGTTCAAGAGTAGCTACAAGAAAGAAATGTTCTTATTATTCTTCCATAATTTTTCCATCACGGGTGATTCTATTTTGTATTTTTTCCCCTCCTCATTGGTTGTGAATGGATTTCACAGAGCTGTAACTCATATGCATGAAATCAGATAATATAGCACCACACTCAGATGCACTTTAATTTTCTGTGTGTCCATATGTAACAGAACAAAATTAGCAAATAAGCGGAGGAAATTGCCACACGGTCTAATGTGACGGCCACCTGTTAAATAGGAGAATGTGCCCAAGAGGAGAGAGCATCGATCAGACAGCCTGTCTTCTCTTTCTGCATTTATTAACTGCTCTAGAGCCTCAACAGCATTCCGTACAGTACAGGACTCTCTCTGCTCTATCTGGATCTGGATCTGGGACTGTTCTGGTCTGTATGGATGCTGCTGCTGCCATCAACTTTGTTCCTCCTCTCCTCTCCTCTCCTCTCCTCTCCTTTCTTCTCTTTACACTGAACAAGGTGCCCCTAAAGTGGAGCCTCTGTGAGCTTTAATTGTCGTTAACATCTCTCGTTTGAGAGAAGAACTCAGTCGTGTCAATAGCAGAGCTCCAAATAGTCCAGCCTAAACATTGATGTCCATTTAGTTTGTATAGTCATGCATCTTCACCAACAGTTAATACTTCTCCTTCTACTTAGATAACATTTTTACATGTTTTATTTTTTTGCCTGCTGTGAAAACAAATTCCTGCTTTGGAAAAATAGCTATTCTGCGTCTCGTACTGTAATTGAATCTAGTTCAGCTGAGTTCATAGTATAACTACAGAGCACGAGCATGGGTGAAAAGCTATATGTTGGCATGGTTTTGTATTTAATCTTGAAAATACAATTTAAATTATGTTTTAATCTCTTTCCAAAAATATGACATGGTAGAGATATCTGGACGATGTGCTCTGTCTTTTTCAAGTAATCATTCTCCTTCTTTGTTGTATTACTTATCTGTAAATCCTGGTCTACACTTTTCTCTTGATATGATTTTGAGAAGTTGTCGTTCCTGGGTAGATGCATTTGTGTATACAATGCTCTTAAAATACCTTGAAGGTGACTTTCACTCCACTGAGGATGTCACAGGAAAGAGAGTCATGTTTCTCCTAAACCTGAAGAAAGCAAATGACTGAACATTTCTGAATGTATTTAGTAGTCTCAAAATAAAGGGATATTCCTTTTAAATCAAGATAGTACTGTTAAGTGTTACTTATCCAAAACACCATCCATAACAGGCAAATCTGGAAATCTCTTATCTTCTCGTGGGGATTCTGAATTGCATAAAACTGCAGTTACTTTAGGGTTGAGTATGATTCACATGAACATGTGTTGGGGCAAAAAGTCTGCTCTCATATTAACAATCATAAAAGTCAATCAAACAACTATAATGACCACACAGAGAAACAAAACAACCATAAAAGCTACTGCAAAGAGATGCAAAATGACCAAAAAGAGACACAGGATGCCCCCAAAGAGATGCAAAACAACCACAAAGAGATGCAAAATGACCAAATAGAGACACAAAACGACCAAACAGAGATACATAACAACCACAAAGAGATGCAAAACAACCACAAAGAGATGCAAAATTACCACAAAGAGATGCAAAATGACCACAAAGAGACGCAAAACAACCACAAAAAGATGCAAAACAACCACGAAGAGATGCAAAATGACCACAAAGCATGAAAATCATGCGTTAAAAGCATTAAGTAGAAAGTGAACAAACCCTATCACGATGGTGTTGTAGAGCAGTGGCTAGAACATTTACTGGTGTGTACCGCGACGCTTTACTAGTCAGTCTGTACGTGTGGTTGGCTTGTTGACTCTTCCTGGTGTGGGCACCGCAGAAGGAGCCGGTGTGCAGAAAGCAGCGGTTAGAAAGGGCATGGATTTAAATTTAATCTGTTGTCATTAAAACTTTTCTTACACATATTGAAAGCTGATCAAACCCTAACTTTTGACTTCAGACAGTCAGAGTGAATACATTTGGGGCTGAGATTGGACAGGCGGTGGTGTTATTGTTGGTGAGCTGAACATTCAGTCCTCCTGTGTGGCGCTGCACGATCCAGAAAACTGCATTTGGGCCCAATGTATTATAACTCGCAGCATCTGCTAATGCATCTTCCTGTCTCACACTGGCAGTGTGAGGGGGCTGTCACTGTCACATTAATGACAACAGCAACACATTTCAATATGCATGCACAGGCATACACATCAAACCGCATGCACGCGCAGAACACACAATGCTCGTAATGTATGCACTCCTGAATACATCGAGCACGCTGGGATTTGCCCGCAACACAACAACCACGGTGTGAAGTGTATCTGTCAACCCCAATGTGTTGTCAGCGTGTGAGGTTGCAGTGAATGAGAACTGCGCTGCGAGATGGCGCGCCGACATCGCATTGGCGGTCCAGGCGGACTTTGCCAAAGATGCCTGTCCCCAAATTATCACCTCCGTCTCCAGCATCCTCGTCATCTCAGCACCTCTCAGCGGCTCCGCTCCCTCCCAGCAGTTGCCAGAGTCTCCAAAATATGAGCTGCACAGCTGAATCCATTCTTGATGGGCGACACGCGCGTGCAGGCCTCACGCACTTGGGACAGGGATTAAAAGGATTTCATCAATTCAGTGTATTCTTTATATCTCAGGAGCAAAGAAATGAAAATAATATACTGTACACATGCAGGAAACAAGAAACTTTGAATATAAAATAAATAATAAATTGTTCTTGAGCTATACTTTCCAGCCTGACTTACATTCCGCATTACCGTTTTTCATGAATTTAAATATCAGATTTAACCTGCACTAACAGATGCACTTCACCACAGTTCTGTGATTTAATAGATCGCCAACAATTTAGTGTTTAAGCAACCAGGTTCTTAAATCCAGGGGTTGCATGCCTTTGTCCTTTATAGCCGGTTTCCATTTGTATTTTCTGTCAGGCTATACATGGATAATTGTTTTATCAGGTTGTTGTTGGGGAGGCCTGCCACATGCAAATCGTCAAAAAATGAGCAAATCAAAAATGTAAACGTCACACACTTGTCAAGGTGTAATGCCGTGTTCACACCAATCATTCGCGCCGCGTATTTGCGTCATTCGCACCGCCGGTCGGTCTCGCGAATGAACTTTGTGTTCGTTCGCGTGAATCGCACGAATCGCGCTGGACGCGCCGGAGAGGGGGCGTGGCTTATCGCCCTGAAAGCCGTTCAACTGTCCGCCATTAACCATGGAAAAAATAACCTCTATTTCTGCTTAGTACATGTTGTGGAAGTCACAGATATCCCAGGAAACTAAACGCCGTCATGTCTGGGTTCATAACATTGTCCAGAGGAGCTCCGTGGATTTTATCGAGCTGTATTCACTGTGTCTAGCAAGCCACACGTCGCTGTTTACTACAGCTGTATGAACACAAAATAAACTGATTTGGCTGTGATTTAACGGCAATAAACCGACAAAAAGGGACTCCGAAATAACTACGTAATGATGCCGATTTGTAGGCTACTTGTCTTCTCAATGGAGCTCGGATGGATCGGTGCTAGGCTATGCTAACATTGTAGCAGCTCCACCAACACTCAGAATAATGTCATCTAGACGTAAATACGGCAGCGTCTATTCATTGTTTGTACCATATGGTTTACACACACATTTATACACATAGTTTGGTCCGGTATGAGGTATCGTAGAGCTCTGGGTGAACACAGGCGGCTACAGTATTTATTTCCTGATTCAACAACGGCAGTCAGTGATGACAGGAGAAACATCTCAATGCTGATAGGCTATCGCGCTGGGGCGTAACGTGAATATTTCGCCGAAGTTGAAAAATTTCAACTCACGTGTTTGGGGCGAATTCGCGTCAAACTCACTGCGAATTTGCGTCAATCACGCCGCGCCATCGCAAATTCGCTTCACTCCAGTCTCATCGTGTCTGTGCATAGACTTTGTATGTAATCTACTTCCGCGAATAATTCGCGCCGCGTTTAGTGTGAACGCACCATAAGACGTTTTTGTGTTCAAGAACTTTGTTGAAGTTGTTTTTGAGCTGAGATGGTTTTCTGCTGCCGATGAATAGATCAGTTGGTTGGCAGCAACAATTTTGATGATCGATTATTTGTTACAGTGATTTAATTAATCCAGCAAAAGTGGCAAATATTCTCTGCTTCCAGCTTCTCAAACGTGAGCATTTAGAAAATCTTTTGCCTTGGCCTGGTGGTCAGACAAACAAGACATTTGAGACGTCACCTTAGGCTCTCAGAGCTTGGGGGACATTTTTCACGTTTTCTCACTTTTTATGGGATTCACAAGTTTATCGAAAAAACAAAAGATTGATATTAATTGAGAATAAAAACCTTTTGTTGTAGACCTAAAATGTTCCGCTAATTTATGAATTAGTTGATCAACAGACATTTTCAAAGAAAAATACTCTCCATAGCTCCACCCCCTTAATAGTGAGGATTCACTACTTCTTCTTTGATGGTAAATAGAATATCTTGGACTCACTGGATAAAACTAGATCCCTGATAATATCAGTTTGGACTTTGGGATATTGTGTTGGGCATTATTTTCTCACATTTTATAGAACAAACAATTAATCAATTAATAAAGAAAATAGTAAGCATATTGGTGCCAGGGTTGGTTATTGAGAAAACTAGCAAGAGTACACTAGCTTATAAAAATGATCCAACATAAAAACCCAGCCCAGTGTTTCCAACTTCTTTGCAATGAAAGTAGCTAGCCGGGATTATCTCCAAAAGTTGCTAAATCTAGCAAGAAAGTCTCCAAGTTGTCCCTTAAGGCCTCCCTCCAAGCCACTCCCCCAAAATTACTATTATGAATGTAAACAACGAACATGGCAACTGTTACTCACAAATGTTAAGATAGCAGCTTGTGGAAGACTGCTGTGAAAAAAGAAATGGACAAACATTCCTTCCACCAAACATAATTTGGTGGAAGGAAATGATCCTTAGAAATCAAAGGATTTGTAAACTATTGTCTCTAATATCTAAGAAGTTAGTTTCAGGAATTGTCATGAAATTGTCCCAGGAAAGGTACCAGAGATGACATAGACCCCAAAATATTCAGTTTACAATGAAACAAATTTGTTTTGTTTCATTGTAAACTGAATATAGTAGCATCTAAACTTTCCATTGAAGAAGAAAATATTTGGCTTCATAGATGACTTCAAACTGTGAAATCCATTATTTTTGCTCCACCACTTCTCAAAACTCCTGTTTTTACCACACATTCTTCATATCAGCTCTGCTCTGTCGTTTTCATAGAGAAGAAGAGAAAGCTGAAAGGAGGTGATGTCCTCTCCCCAGCTGACTGTGACTGTTTGCTCAGCAAGGGTTTGAGCCCGTCAGGACGCCTCACAGCAGCCTCTCCTCGAGCCTGGACTAGCTGCTCGCTATCCTGAAGCAAAAACAACAAGTAGCTAAACTTCCCCTCCCGACACCTGGCCCTCCTACACCCCGCTCTGCTCCGGTCCCCTGTGCCATGGCCTTCACCCTGTCAGAGATCATGGCTGCAAGACGGCAGCAGTCACAGGCTCAGTCGCAAGCCCAGCGAGGCAACAGGACGGCGGTGGAAGTGGACGAATACAGCACCAACCCAACTCAGGCCTTCACCTTCTACAACATCAACCAGGGACGCTTCCAGCCGCCACACGTCCACATGTGAGTAGATATAAGAAACAGGTGGTTAGAGGAGCATACAGCCGTCATTTACACTTAGAGCCCATTTCATTTTGTTGACATTTTGGTTTGCATATCCTCGGATCCTTTTCCTGTGCATCCTGGATATGATTACTTTTTTAACATTTACTTTTGATATATACAGGTATATATATATATATATATATATATTTAGATCTAATCAGGAATTATTATCATCCATCTATTATTCCATTTATTTTACTGATGTTTTAGGCTTTTGCCAAGGTATCATCTCAGTATCGGAATCAAGTCGAAGTAAAAGTGACAACAACACCTCTAACGCTCAACTAACACGTTTTATCTGATTTATTCGAATTTTATACAGAAAGAGGAAAATAAAAATGACAATGTTTTGTTGCATGGATAGCTTATACAAGCTTATACATGTAAACAACAGCATTTCTGAAATGGATTTCTGGACTTGACACTGTTTTGATCTACCAGCTGGGGAAAACAAAACAAAGAAAACATCAAACAAAAAAATCATCCTGAGACACCATGTTAAGCTAACTAGTAAGCTATCTAGCAATCTAACAGCACGCTAGGCTAACTAGCATGCTAGCAACCAAACAATCCTCTTCAGATACTCTAACACCATGAGTCTACAACATGCTACAGCACAAGCTCATCTTTTGAATGTGCAGAGAGGGCGGCACATTTTTAGATTTGATTGTCAGTAAGGAATATTTTGAGGCAAACTTAGGCTAATTATTATTATTATTATTATTCTCAAAAAATGTATCAAGCTATTGCTGTTGCTCTGCTGTTGAATGAGGAGGAGGGGGAAAAGTATATAGTTCATCAGAATAAAAAAATGCTAATTTCAACCTTTCGTCTGCATTTGTTCGTTCCTACCACATCTACTGGCATCAAAACAGGAAGTCGGTAGTAAAGCCCTCCTCTGGCTCGATTTGATTGGGTCACTGGGCCAAGTGTGCGACTTTGTGACTTCCTTTGAAAAGTTGCGAAAGTTTAAACTTTTATGGGGCATCTTAAAAATGCTAGAAAAATGCGACACACGGCGCAAGAGAGGAGAGCACGCCATGTTATGGTATAACAAAGGCAAACAATGGTTTTGCTGGCGACGCATCTTGGTGTGAGGTGCTAAGTAAAAGAAACTGGAATTTATTTGAGAATAAATGAACAGAAAGAGAAACCATCATATTAGGCTACATGTAATTTGTCTTCCTTCAATGTTGCATTTGTAGTAACACAGCTTCTCTAACTTCCATATGTTCCGCGTTAGTTTCAGTTTTAACTTGACTTCATATAACCAAGAATAAACACTGTTATATTGATGCTCAGAAAGAGCGGGGCTCCAAAAAGCATAATTTTACATTTCCGAATACCCACATGTAGAAATGAAACATTCTCCATGAACCCATATCTGTATTTCATTACTTTGTGACTCTCCTACATGGATGCATATCTCCTTTCCCACTTCCACCCGTCTCTCTCTTGTGGTGGGGTGCAGAGGAGGAAGAGGAGGGGGTGGAGGCTGGGCTGGGTGTTATCGTACCTGGAGGAGCGCTCGCTAAAGTGGGCCACGGTTATTCACCAGCTTCCCTCTTTCCCCCCTGGAGACCCCGTGGATCTGCACACTCGCTGCAGATCCCACAGGACTCTGCTCTTTTTCTATATCTGTGCTTTATTCTTTTTCTATCTCTGCACATTCCTTTCTGTCTCTTTCAGCGCCGTGCTTTTGTTGTGGCCTCTTGCTACTCGCTACGTCTCTCCTTTACTCCGCTGCCTCAGTCTGTGGGGATGATGTTCTGCTGGATACCAATTCAAACTTCTTTCATTGTCAGCCTCTTACCACAGAGACTTTGTATACAGCGCTGCATCTCTCTCTCTCTTCTGTATTGTTTAAGTTATCCAAGAGCCGCAGTGACCTTTTTTTCCTCTCCCTCTCCCTTAACTTGCTTGTATTTTGTTGTCCCTCCTCGCTTCAGGGTGGACCCGATGCCCCACGACGCGCCAAAGCCGCCGGGCCACACCCGCTTTGTGTGCATCTCGGACACCCACTCCCGCACCGACAGTATCCAGATGCCGTACGGAGACGTGTTCATCCATGCTGGAGACTTCACCGAGCTGGGACTGCCCTCCGAGGTCAAGAAGTTCAACGACTGGCTAGGTTAGCATCTGTGGGAGTTGTGGTTCTGGATCTAGAGCGGGTCAAGGCCCGGGTTTTCTCTATCTAGTTCCCATTGTGACGGTCAGTGACAGTTACTGTGCCACGAGTTTTTAAGATTGCTTTCATTAGCAGAGGATTCTCAGGGCAAAAATGTTTTTGTTCCGGTTTTCACTGTAAATTAAAGGACCAGATCAGGGATTTTACACATTTTACAACATTGACTGCAAAGACATACTTGACTTTACTGCTGATGGTTTTCCCCAGCATGCCAGAAATCGATTTCCTCCTTTAATGAATAGATTTGAGTCTTCTCTTCCTTGTTGGTGAGTTCAAGGATGCTCTGAGAGCATCAAAGCTTTGAGTCAACTTGTGAACAGCACATATCCTAAATGTAACAAGCAACACTATTTCCCAGTCTGCTTCGTGTTTGTCCTCTGTGTTCAATTTTCTAACAACAGAGCTCATAAATGCATCGCTATGTGGCAGCCGATTGCCAAATCTTTGAGGACTTCCTTGAACACACCACAAAGCAGAGTTGTTTTTATAAAGGTTCTCTGCTCATAACTGCACTTCCACACAATGAGAACTTTGACAAAAGAGTGAAGTAGACTGAGTGTTCAATGTGATGTACAGGAGGTCTCTGCAAGCGTAGCCTACTGACATTAATTGGAACCAGCCGCTGTCTGGAAATAAGAAAAAAAAAAATCGAACTGGTGCAGTGCTTTGGAAAACAAACCACAGTATGTAATTTGTGTGAAACATGCAAAAACCCGCAGTATGGTCCTTTAAGTGTGATGTGGTACGGCGTGAGTCTGGTTTGTGTTATGTTGCTCTCAGCTCATATCCCTGTAGTTTAACACTGACACCACTGATACAGAGCAGGCTTTCAAAAGCCGATGGAGCTGATGATCCTCACAATTTGAATATTTACATTCCACTTTTAATATTTGACACTATTTATTTTCTGACTGCTTCTCTATATTGACAGTTTTCTTTGTTAAGGCCAATCTATTGTAGCATAAGCATGTCCGTCAGTCTGTCTGATGTTAGATTCGTTATTTGTCCACGTCCGTGAAGGTCCTTTGGACCCCTGGCGATTGGTCCCGTTCTTGTTAAGGGTTCGCTCACATTGTTTTATTCTTTTACCTTGTTGTTCACTGCACGATGTATTGAGGCACGTTGCGTGCAAATTTTGCACAGTTGTCCGCACCTGTATTGAGGTACGATCAAAGCTTAATTGGCAGGGTCCGCCTTTCCGCCGTGGGATTCACATTGCTTTAAAAAAATAATATATGTTTATATATATACAGTATATATATATATTTATTGATTATAGCTGCCTTGAAACAAGATCGAATGGGGTTTGCTCAGTTGTAATGATGGCTTAGCAGTCATCACTAATGCTGCGTTGATGCTACAAGCGACACAGCAACATTCTTAGTCTTTCTTAAAGGAAACCGTTGAGCTACAAAGTGACGTGTCACTGCGTGATGGAGGTGACATGCTACAAAACAAAGTTGAGCCAGTCTTAACTTTCCTTAGCGCTCCGTTGCGACGGTTAAGCGTCAACCAATTATATGTTTTTGTTTCACCCTGTTCCGTTC